GCCCTCAAGAATCCCGTCCCACCCAACAGCAACCACAAGGTAATTCTAACCCTAATATTAGATGCTTCAGATGTGGGGAACAGGGACATAGAGCGACTGAGTGCAGGAAGCCTGTCAGTCAGAAGGGCAAAAATCTCTTGATTGAGGAAGACGTGGTAGACGAAACTAAAGAGGTTGGAGAGCCTGTGTATGATGATGATGAAGATGGAGATGTGCTGTATGGAGATGGCCATGAGACTCTAGTCGTTCGCAAAAGTCTACTGACTCCCAAGAGCGATTCAGGGGACGATTGGTTGAGAATCAATATTTTTCACATGACCTGCACAGTTGCAAATAAAGTGTGCAAGATGATCATTGATAGTGGCAGTTGTGAGAATGTAGTGTCTGAAGAGACTGTTCAAAAATTGCAGTTGAAAATAGATCGTCATCCCAAGCCATACAAATTGTCATGGCTGAATAAAGGAAGTGAGGTAACAGTAGATAGGCGATGCTTATTGTCTTTTTCGATCAGCAGGAAATATTTTGATAATGCTTGGTGTGATGTTGTGGCTATGGATGCTTGTCATGTACTATTAGGCAGACCTTGGCAGTACGATCGCAGTGTTATTCATGATGGGCGGAAAAATACATATTCCCTTAGCATCAAAGGGAAGAAGATTGTGTTGGCGCCTCGTCGGGAAGGAACCATTCCTACCCCGGTGACCAATAATACTAACCTGCTTTCTATGTCCAGGTTTTTACTGGAGATTGAGCATGGAGACGTGGTCTATGCCTTGCTGCCTTGTGGGAATAGTACAGCAAACGTGGACCCAGATTTACCAACAGAGGTGCAGCAGCTGCTAGTAGAGTTTTTTAACCTGATGCTAGAGGATCTTCCTCCTGGGCTGCCGCCAATGAGGGATATTCAGCATTAGATTGACCTTGTTCCAAGGTTGAGCTTGCCTAATCGACCGGCCTATTGCCTCAGTCCTAAGGAATCTAAAGAGTTGCAACGACATGTGGTAGAGTAGTTGGAGAGGGACTACATCCGTGAAAGTATGAGCCCATGTGCAGTCCTTGCCCTGCTCGTGCAGAAGAAAGATGGCTCTTGGAGTATGTGTGTTGACAGCAAAGCAATCAACAGGATTACAATGAAATACAGGTTTCCAATTCCCCGCTTAGATGATATGTTAGATCAGCTATCCAGTTCTAAGGTTTTCTCAAAACTTGACCTTAAAAGCGGATACCACCAGATCAAAATAAGGCCCGGAGATGAGTGAAAAACAACGTTTAAGACGCAACATGGGTTGTATGAGTGGATGGTCATACCTTTTGGGCTATCCAATGCACCCAGTACATTTATGAGATTTATGCATCAGGTTTTACGGCCTTTTATGGGGAAATTCGTTGTAGTTTACTTGGACGATATACTCATTTATAGTCCGACGTGGGAGTCACACTTTGAGCACCTCCGTGTTGTTTTTGATGTGCTGAGGACGGAGCACTTGTTTGTCAATCACAAGAAGTGTTCTTTCTTCACTACTTCTGTAACCTTTCTTGGTTTTGTTGTGTCTACTGATGGTGTTCATGCAGATCAGTCAAAGATAGATGCGGTCTTGGAGTGGCCCAAACCAAAGACCTTGCATGATGTCAGAAGTTTCTATGGATTGGCGTCCTTCTACTGTCGGTTCATCAGAAACTTCAGCACCTTGATTGCCCCAATTACAGAGTGTCTCAAGGGACGTGATTTCCAGTGGTCTGAGGAGGCAGAGGCCAGTTTTCAACTGGTCAAGCAGAAGATGACAGAGGCACCAGTTTTGGCACTTCCTCATTTTGAAAAGGTGTTTGAGGTAAATTATGATGCATCTGGGGTTGGCATTGGTGGTGTTTTGAGTTAGAAGGGGCGCCCCATAGCTTTTTTTAGTGAGAAACTATCAGGATCAAAGAAAAATTACTCCACCTATGATCTGGAGTTTTATGCTATAGTTCAGTCCCTGAAGCATTGGCGTCACTACCTAATACAGAGGGAGTTCATTCTTATCACTGATCATAAGGCTCTGAAGTACATCAATGACCAACACAAGCTGAGTAGATGGCATGCCAAGTGGGTGGCGTGCTTGCAGGAGTTCACATTTGCGCTGAGACACAAAGTAGGGAGTCTGAATCGTGTTACAGATGCACTGAGCCGTCGTACGTTACTTCTCACCACTATGAGCACCAAAGTTGTAGGGTTTAAGGCTTTGATCCTTCGGTAGGATAACTCAGGAGGTAATGGTCAACGTCATGATTTTATTTTGCATAATGGTTATCTATTTCGCGGATTACAGTTGTGTATTCCAGATTGTTCACTAAGGCAACAGATTATTAGTGAGCTTCATAACGAGGGTCACTTTGGGCGAGATAAGACGTTGGTCTTGATCTCTTCTAACTATTATTGGCCCAAATTGGCCAGTGATGTGGCTCATTATGTAGAGCGTTGTTATGTGTGTCAGCGGTCCCAAGGAGTTCTCACTAACACAAGCCTGTACACTCCTTTACCTGTTCCTGAGGCCACTTGTTTTGATGTCAGTATGGACTTTGTGTTGGGCTTACCCCGTACCCAACGGGCCTTGGATTCTATTTTGGTTGTGGTTGACATGTTTTCCACGATGGCCCATTTTGTAGCTTGTAGGAAAACAATGGATACTGCCCGGATCGCCCATTTCTACTTCAGGGAGATTGTGGGTTTACATGGTGTTCCTCGATCAATCACTTCAGATCGTGACACCAAGTTCATGAGTCATTTTTGGAGGAGTTTATGGGAGAAACTGGGGTTATAATTGAATTTCAGCAGTGCATACCACCCCCAGACGGATGGTCAGACTGAGGTGGTGAACCGGAGTTTGAGCAACCTTTTGAGGTGTTTGGCAGGAACTAAACCAAAGCAGTGGGATTTGGCGTTACCTCAAGCAGAATTTGCCTATAACAGATCGAAGAACATAACTACAGGAATGAGCCCATTTGAGATTGTCTATGGTCAGAATCCATCGAGGGTGTTGGACTTAGCCCCTATTCCACGTGTAGGTCATTTGAGTCCTAAGGCAGATGAGATGGTAGAACATCTTTGGGGCATCCATGAGCAGGTGAAACTAGCCATTCATGAGAGCAATGCCAAGTACACAACTCGGGCCGATATTCATCGTCGCCAGGTACTTTTTGATGTTGGTGATTTTGTTTGGGCAATATTAACTCGTGATCGTTTTCCTGTTGGAGAGTATAATAAGCTTAAGAAGCGAAAGATTGGACCATGTGAGATACTATAGAAGATCAATGACAATGCCTATAGGCTGCGCCCCAGTCATTTGAGGACTTCTGATGTCTTTAATGTGAAACACCTGAGTCCTTGTTTTATGGATTCCAATTTCTAACCCGGGGCGACTAATGCAGGAGGATCTAAGTCAGATGATGCTGAGTTATCAATAGCACGTTGATGGCGCTGATATACCTTGAGTTAGCAAATTAGTACAGTCAGAAATTCAAATCTAAGAAGAGTTGACACTGTTTTGATCATAATTTTTGATCCGTTTGGAGTTTTGGGGCCCATAATATATCAAATCGAAACTCTCGACGAGCCCTATAAAAGTCACAGCCTATGGCAGTGAGAAGCACAGTTTAAAGCCAAAAAAGGCCTGGAAATTCGTGTTTGGGCCTTCCGAAGTTTTTTCCTAATTTTGAGTTTATTTGAATTTTTTTTTTAATTTAATTATTCTTTGCGTAATTGAGGTTTACAACTTATTATTTAGTATTTAAAGGATTTTCATGTGTTTTAGGGTTAACTATCATTATTCTAATTTTATAAAAATTTTGGCTGCTTAATCAGTTCTTTTTGGGCGATTCTCTTGTATTCTTCTCTGTGAATTATCTGTTGAAACTAGCCTATAAAATAATCGATATTCTGTTCGGCTTCACTTATATATTTAAGAAAATTAACAAAATATTAATTTTCTTAAAATGTAGAATTTATTTTTGTTCGCTAAACATATCTAACAGTAGGAGATACTTGTTAATTAATCCCAAACATAGGAGTATAAAAGTAAAAGATATATTTCCATCATAACCCTCACTTGACACACACTGACCGGTTGTGTCAGCGAAGATTCAGAAAATAAAATGAATATCTTTGAAAATATTATAAACTAAAAAAAATGTGACTAAATTATCCCAAAAATTTATCTATTCCAAACTCAACTATGACATAAGAATACTGTCGTATGTAATGACTTAATGCATCAAAGGCATAGTGGCATAATTTATTTGTGTGAATTTTTCGTGAATCTTTTGTGAATCAATTTGAACCTCTTTTTCGACATTTTTTTCTTATTTTCAAAAGCAAGAAATACAAAACAAGCAAAATTTTGATAAAAACAATATGAAAGGAGGACATTATGGCATCAAGCAAGAGAATAATGTATAAGCCAGAGAATAAGTAAGAGGATAGGGCTGCCACAGCTATACCCATCTTTTAAGTGATTTTGATCACTACTTTAATAAAATAAAACTCACGGAACTTTAACCAACCTTAACTTTATACCCGAAATTCGCAACAGCTCATAGAATGCCAATAGGATCTTTTTTGGCAATAAAAAACATTATCTATTCCTTTTCAGGACCTTACCGTTGCCCTGTTGCTGTTTCCCCAAGGTTATAGTCAAGGTGGAATCGACCTCACTTTCCGTATTAGTCAGACTCTATCCTTGTTGGAGGCATGTAATCTGGACCCCATGAAAACTCTTGTGATTCTGAGTTTTCCACATACTGAGTGACCTCTCTAAGCACAAGTGAAAAAATATGCATCTCATCAAATTCTAATGTCACGCGTGTGTGTGTGTGTGTGTGTGTGTGTGTGTGTGTGTGTGAGAGAGAGAGAGAGAGAGAGAGAGAGAGAGACCAATCACAACAACACAGGACTTGACTGTTCATTGATCAAAGTTTCACAAGCACTGAACATCCAAATGCAAACTAAAAACCTGTGGTAGCATCAATATGTTCTCAAAATATCGCAGTAACTACGCTGTCAGCGATAAAGAACGCCTGCCAGTTAAGGAAAGAGGAGGGGAGGGAGATGATTACCATAAAATAACATGCACGCTATACCATATCCGATGCATGACATAAAAACCTAAAAAAGAGTAGTTTGTGACCCAAAGAAACCAATAGTTTTTCTCTCTTAAGCAAGCAAGCCAATTCCATATCTACAGGTTGGTGGCAACAAGCCAAATGTGAAGTACCTCAAGTCACAAGAAACAACTCACAATTTTTACAGCAACAGATTTAATACTTGTCTCCTACCCAACTTCTTCAAGACATCAAAGCATGGAAGATAGAAGATCATACATCCATCAATGATTCAATAGAAATATACTCAAATATTCATACAAAAATAAACAGTTCACAGAAATAAAAACCTCCAATTTATACCGAGTCCACCTCCCCTTCAACCTGCTGTCGAGCCAGGTATCTTTCTCTTCGTTCTTTCTGGAAAAGCAGCAAATAGTAAAAAAGATAGCTAAAAAAAATCAGAAAAGTGAAAATCCTATGAGAAGAAACCTTAAGTTTAAAAGATAGCTCACCCATTCATCGATTACGAGCCCTTCACCAATAATCTTTGGACCCGTGTCCTCTGGAGGCTTCTTGCGAGCCTCAAGAGCAGCCTCAGCTTCAGCCAACTGGCGGTTCAATTTCTCCAAAGCCTGAGAAAAGAAGCAGGAAAAATCTCATAAACCAGCAGTCTCCATGAAAGCTTTCACTCAGGTAAATACATACACACGCAAATGCACACAATCACCGTTACAAGAACAAGGGCACACATGCAAATGCATATTACTGACCTACATAGAAAACAAATTGTCATGCAGCATTATACTTACCGGGCTAGGACGTTCAATATCCAAGAAAACAACCCGCAATATCTGCTCCACTGCCACTTGATCCTTCTGCTCATCAAACTGAACAAAAAGGCAGAGAGTAATGTGAATAGAATACTGGAAGGGAGCAGAAGGAGCAGAGTATGCATCCATCAACATCATTCAAGTGACCATAAGTTCTTTATCAAACTAAAACTTGACAAGATTCACGGCCTTGATTTAAAAGCAGATAGTATATCTGCAGCTAAGAAAACATGTGGTTGCTACATTAGTAAGCTGCCAATAAAATGTATCAACTCGTCAGGTATGTACTATGCCTGTAAAAGCTTATAAGATGAAATCATACATCACTTTTCAACTGAGAACAGTAGGCTGGATGTAGCAATGGCAACTTTTCTAATTCATTCCTTCTCTAGAGACAAATTCAGCCCATAATACTTTACATATCTAAAGCCCCTGTAGTCATTATAAATCTAACACAAGCATTAAATACAAAGCAATAACTAATAAAGCTGGCGTGTTTATGGACAGTTCAAACCCGTACTGACAGAATATGATTATCAAGATCATAAAACTCAAAACAATAGGCTAATAGATAGCTATGCTATAAGAAAAAAAGAAAGCAGCGGGCATTCAAACAAGTATATGACGCACCAGCTCAGGTACATAATCCATCGGTCCTTTCACCTTTAGGCTCATGATTTTAAACTTCACCTTGCTCTTTTGATCCATTGGTTTTTCATTGTTCTCTGGAGGCTCCACAAACTTGAAAACTAAAATAACCATCCAAAACAGAAAGCAAATAATTGTAACAGTCAATTGACGTACACATATGTATTAGCAAGTATACATAAAAATACAAAGATACACAAACACTACATATATACATATATGAATATCCAAAATGAAATGAACTGCATAATCACAGGTATGAATCTCTACCAGTCGCTATGAGACTTTCACCAGGAGCAAGAATAGCTCCTGGAGGACGCATGAAACAGCTTTTTGGTGCAGTTGTTTGGAACTGAAGAACACAAGCAAACAACACTAATCAGGTAATAGTAATGACAAAAATAGGCTATGAAATATTATGACTGAACCCAGCCACAAAGAAAGGAAAAACAGAAAAGAACCAGCAAACAATTGGAAACTTTTATCAAGAACTTATCAATTCCAATAAAAGGAAAAATAAGGCTATAACTGGGTAAAAATTTATTACAATGGCCATCCATACCTTGAAAGCTACGTGAGACTTGCTTGAATTTTTAATCCTAATAGCACTTCGGACTTGCTTACCAGGTTCATCTGGAAGTAACAGAAAAGCGAAAGAAATAACTTAATGGGACGCCACACAATGTGAAATCCAGCAAATAATGTAATCCAATATTCTTCACCAAGAGGTCGGCATTAATAAAGAAAAAAAACAAAAATAAATGTGACAGACACATTGACACATAGATATTAATCAAACACCAACAGGTGTGGACCAGAAAAACAACTCAACATAATCATTTATATAACATTGTCTCATATAAGCAATTAAGTGAAGCAAAGTGAAAGCCAAACTAATTCCTCCATATCAGTTAAGACGTACAACTTAAACTAAACATACAGACAAAGCTTAGGCACTGAAAGGTGTAAATAATATTTAGAAAAAAGGGCATCAAAATGGGACGATCAACCTTAGAGCAGATAAATGACTCCTGAGTCAATAATCCATTAGAATGCATTCTCGCAGGAAGTAGCATACTCATGTAGCCTGCTTGTGTTCCTTTTGTCTTTAAGGTGAGTTCAATAATAGTCCAAATCCTTCTACTGGCTGGCTAGTGCATTAAGGTTGCATGTCTTACTTTGGGTCAGCCGTGAACAAAGTGTTAAGTTAGAGAGAGCTAGCATTCCGTACTTAGCCAGCCAAGCAAAAAAACGAATGAAGGAATAACAAAGAGAAAGAGATAGCTTGGATGCACTTCTTGTCCCCTTGCATGTCATAGTCAACAAGGTTGAAACTTCAAAGAAAAAACTTCAAATTGGGAGGGGGAACCTCCCGGTGAACTGATCATACACCAAACTAACACAGGTGAACAAGTAAAGATACTAGGACGCTTGAGAGAAACATCTTTCACTGGGGATATTAAATTGGCAATGCAATTCCAAATTGCTTGGTTGCAGTTCAATCATTTCACCATTTGAAGAATAAGCCATGCCATCTTTGGCATCTTGGCAACCAAATATAATAACCACCACTTACTTAAGTTTGGATTGAACACAAGTTTTGGTTTACAGCTTTGTATAAAGTACAAGTCGAATCCAACAATTTCACCTTGTCAGTAAAATTTTGCATAACAGTTGTCAAATTACCAAAAGTAGCATTTTATGCGGCCCTTTCATTTTGCACCTTCTTAAACTTAATACATTTCTTGGTACAGCTGCAAATTAATAATGGAAATCAAAATTAGCAGTAACATGAATTCATAATGATTAGGTCCTGCAGATCCATTGCCACCTCAATGCCCTTTGTAGGCCAAAAGTTAAAACAATAAAGCTCCAATTCTTTTTATCTTGATACAAGTTCTTTATAGATTCCCTTTTATTCCTGGTAATGAATCCAACTGGAATTAACTTACTCGTCTTTGCTGCTGTATACACTACACTCCGTTTATTTCAACACTTGAACGGAAAAACTAAGAGTAAGCGAAGAGAACAAGCAAAAAAGAGAATCAAGAGAGAGAATTTATTTCTTTAAGGAGTGCAAGTGGAAAGAAAGGAACAGGCTCACCAAACCACTTTTAAATCTACTTTTGCTTCCTGACAAAAATGTTATAGTAGTCATCAAATATCTTCAAATTTAATCCTAAATAGACTATTTTCGTGTTAATCTCTTAGAACATATGAGATGGCTGAAATCAGGAACCTCGGTACATTTCAATTTCCATGTTTCCGAATCTTTCTAACCAGTAAGCACATATTACTTCAGCACTGTTTCCGATGACGATACTATCATAACCTAGCTTCCCATAGGTTGTTTACAGTGGCTGCCAACTTCAACTTTTGAAGATTTATTGGTGTCAATCATTCTGCAAAATAAATTCTCATTGGCCAGCATCTTGCCAATTTAGGCAATGAACGACCACGCATCACCAACAAGCAATTCTCTGCTTCATCTTCTTTACCTATAAACACCCGATTCAAGATTTCAAAAAAAACACAGTTGCTCTCATTTGAAAAGCTTGGCCATAGATTTGCCCCGCTACACAAAATCTCTTGGGATTATATTCCATATATATTTTCTCAATCATCATAAAATCTCTGGACTAATACTTGTCTTAACCTTATATACTAAATCACAAACCTTACACTCTATCTTTCACCATCTGCAGTGCATCAGCCCCTTTATATATATTATGCAAAATTTAGATCACACCCACTCTAACCCTTGCATCACCATTGTTTAAAGAGAACCAAGCCGGATGACGATCCTTAATTCATTCAAGCCCAAAGCAAAACACAATAACACAGCTACGAGCCTATGACATCAATTAAGCTTATTATAGTTGAAAAAAATCACTTCTCTATATCAATTGTTCCTTTGGCCATTTATACATTTTTACAATGCTTTATCACATCAACACAAGCAATTACCCCTTAAATTCCCAATACTCATCACATAAACATGGATCATTCAATTTTAGGGCTACTAAACAAAACTGTAGTAAAGCGATCGGAAATTAGTAAAATCACCAAACTAATTTGACATAAAATCAATCAGATCAAACAAATATCGAATAAGTAAAACAAATTGGGAAAAAAAATATTAAATAAACGATGAACGAAGGCTAGCATACATGGAAAGTACAGTTTATTGGACGGATCAAGCCTCAAGCGACGCCGTGTCGGAAGCAGAGATCTGGCAACGGAAGATACAGAGCTCGAACTGTTGTTATGAACATTCGATCCCTGCACATGCGAATTACTCTGACTCTGACTCTGACTTTGTTGCTGTTGATGAGTACTGTGCGACGACGTCGTTGAATGCGAATTTCCTGAGTTTCGAAACGGTAGCTTAAACAATCCCCAAACTTTACCGTCCGACGGTGAGTTCTCGTCAGCAATGGCCATTTTTTCACTCGCCTGAAACCCTCTCTCTCTCTCTCTCTCTCTCTCTCTCTCTCTCTCTCTCTCTCTTACACACACACAAACCGAATGCTTTAATTTACAGTGGTTTTTGTTTCACGGGATAAAACTGACACTTGACCGGTGACGTCGTCGTCGTCGTCGTCGCCGTCGTAGTCCCTCACCCAAAATCTATTTGATTTTGAGTGGGTCTTGAAAAATGCTTTTACCGAGTTGAGTTGTGGATATGCAACGGACAACTCGGACGTGAAAGGCGAAGATAAAACTGCATTTAAATGGTGGTGTTGATGTCCGCGTTGTGTTTTGTTTGCCAGTACGCAATTGGCGGGCAGGAGAGATGAAACGGTGTCGTAAAGAGGATTCGCTAATTGAATAGTCAATCTTAATGGCCAAAGATTAGCAATTATTAATATTAATTTTTTGGTTATTTTAGTTTTGGTCTTATACTTGTTACGTTGAATAGTTGCTTTTTTTGAAAGGTTTGCTCTTATACTTTTTTTGTTGAATAGTAGCTTTTTTTTTTTGAAAGGTTTGCTAATGGCTTGGTCAATCTTAATGGCCATAGATTTTTGTTTTCTTGGTATAGAAAATAAATATATAAATACGTCACTTCATATATTTTATCAAAGAATATTATTTCCAAACATCACAAACTATTTGTATGAGGTTTCATTGCACCTACGTCAAGCAGAAACCAAGGTCCCATCATAGGTTATAAGCCTTGAATAATAAGTTTAGTTTTATCAAACTGTCATAATGATAGAGATTCAAACTTAAACATTGATCGAAAAAATTTGTGTTTTAAACCATTAAACTAACCGTTCGGTGGTAATGGCCATAGATTATTAATGATTCTTTTTTGGTAAAATGGGATGGGCGTGACCAAGACGTGTTAACGTCTGAAATGTGTGGGTGGGGTGGGGTGGGGTGGCTTTGTGGTGGGATTATTTGTTTATTTGTTGTGAAGGTTTCAAAAGATTAATTAGTGGAAAGTGGAACATTTGAACATCTATGAGGAATCCACAATTGGGAGAATCAATATTCTTATTTAAATCAAGACACTAACCACCCCCTGTTGACTACCGTGATATGACCTGCTGGTTCATATATAGCTCATGAACAAAATTTTATGTTTTTTTTTTCATCGAAACCGTAGATACCAATAATAATGAAATGAGTAGAAGGATATTTCTATATTTCGCCCGTGGATAGGCTCAAAATAGAGGTCTAGCCACCGACCTCCAGTCACATACTTAAACATAGGCAAAAGTGTTTGGTTGCCTAGGTATGACCTTAAGTAAGGATGATCAGATCGTTCATATCATCTCACAGAAAAATTTAATATTTTTAGTTTAGATCAAAAACACGGACATGTTAACCAAAAGAACAAGAGCTCACCCCCAAGTAGCATGACCTCTCATAGACACGAATGATCACAACATATGTAAGCTTGGACAATGGTATCAATGACATTTCATCTTGTTCTAGAAGATCACGTCATACATAGGAATTGTGGCATTTACCGGTTAAATATTCTCCTAACAAATAGAGAATCATGTGATGAAGACGTGATAACTATCCCACCTCTTGATATGAATACATGAGGCAATCACCCATATACACAGACACTAATTGTAATCTAAAAAGTCTTAAATCTCGATCTTATTTCCTAGGTAATAGAAAGTCATTTAAGGAACAAAAAATTTCATTATAGTGGATTAGTCAAACTCTTGAACCAATGAACAACTGTATTGTCTGTTCTCTCCCTAATTTTCTAGCTCTTACCTCTATTTTATGCTTCCTATTGCTTGTTTCAAAGCAAAGCTCTGTCATTGGCTAGTCCTTCATCCATATTTGATCACTGTTTACACATTCATCAATGTTCTATAGTTTCAAGCTTCTTAGTTTAAGCATTCAGCTCACGCTTTTGAGTTTTAACACCATCAGGAATTAAAACAATTTCAAAATTTTAATGTTATGGAGTATTTTGAAAAATTAGATGTTTTCAAAATATTTTTGGAATGTTTTAGATTAAATATTTAATTTTTTCTATTTTTCTATTTTTTTTTCAATATGTTTCTGAAATATTTTTAAAACGTTTTTATTTACTAGTTAACCGAAACTATATCCCTAAAAAAGAAATTTAATCCATAATGATAAATCCACGAGGATAAGGTTAGATAGGATTGACAATAGTGTCGTATTAAAATTACGTTATGTCTATACCACATTATGTTGAGGAAAATTGGTTAAATAAATGCACACCATACTCAAATTCTTATCATATATAAAATATTTTATAATCAAGTTTGTGTTGTACCCTATAACTTCATAGTAACTTAGTAGTGTATTAGACGAGAAAACAAAAGTGAATGGAGGGATTGCCCTAATACTTAACTCAAGTTAAAAGGGAGATATGGTCTAGAATAGGTATGGGTAAGACTTGGATGTTATGAAGAAGTCGATCAATACTTAACTTAGGTATTTGACTCAAGAATGAATGGGAAGAGCACAGATAAGAAAGAATATTGGTTGTTCAGCTTTGGAATTATCTCATATAAACAGAGTTTATGAATACAGGAATAAGGTGCTAACACTTTGTTTATGGATCAAGGAGATGCGACCCTTCTTTATGCTTATGCTTTTGATAGTATATCAAAAGTGATGGTGCACAAATTGGCTTTGCGCACCACATATCAAGTAATTAGTAATAAATGCAATAAATAAATAGAGAGAGAGAGAAGACAAGGTTTATAGTAGTTTGGTCAACTTGACTTACGTCAACTTTGAATGGCTAGGATCGCACGGGTATTTTATTACTTCATGTGTTTAGGGAGAAAAGAGAGTTACAAGCTTTGAGAGGGAAAGGAAAATTGTGCTTGACTAAGTGTGATGTGCCCCCAGATGTTGACAAAACTTACAATTTATAGTCACTCAATAACAGATTGGGGCGAGTTATTAGTAACTAAGTGACTATTCTAGTGCAACTGACAATCTCTTCTCAATGGGCGAGGCAGTTACGTTGCTCTTCAGGAGATTTGGCCAAAGGATGAGGTGGGTGTTGACTCATTCTAAAGTGGCGAGGATGAGGCTCTTGTGTGACCCTTACTTTACGGTTGCTAGAAGGAGGCTCTTGGATGACCCTTACTCCAAGGTGGTTAGGAAGAGGCCCTTAAATGACCTTTACTCTAAGGTGGCTAGGAGGAGACTCTTAAATGACTTTTACTCCAAGGTGGCTAGAAGAAGGCTCTTAGATGACCCTTACATGCTCGCATGCTGATGTAGCTCCTCGAATATAATGAGTTTGACCAGGAGTGGACCACTTTGGATGCTGAATCTTTTGGAGTTAGGCTCTTAATTTAAACTGGGCTCGTAGCATGAGTTAGATCCTTGGGCCTGACCCGTCAAAAAGCATGAAATCAATTTTCAATTTTGAAGTATTATATTGACAATGAGCCTCGATCTAATGAGGTTTTACTGTTTTGAAAATCATTGTTAAGAAGAATAGACATAACACAACAAAAGAATCCAAAAACAAAAGTAACAAATACCACCTTTTGGGAAGGCCAATTCCTAGGGCTATCCCGCATAAGATAGTCTTTTGGTGTGTGTGTGGATTCTATGGATGTTGTAGTCTTACACTATAAGTGTAAGTGTTGTAGTTATCCTTTGATAAAAAAAAACATGGGTACGTTACAGGGTGGTCTCATGTAGGCTCAATTGTATCCCTCTTTGAGCTCAGCCATAAAAATGGTTCGAATAAGCTTTCAGGCCTATAGTGGTGATGGGCTGAGACTATCTCACATTGGATAACCTTTGGGTGTGTGCGTGAATTATATAGATGCTGCTCCTTACACTTTAAATGTAAGTGTTGTAGTTATTCTCTGATAAAAAAGAAGTCAATTCAAGACAATAATATTATTTATATTTAATTTAAAGGCCTAATATACTATAACTATTAAATTAATAGTGAATTTTATTTAATACTATAATTTATTAATAATCCAATAACAACAATAAATTAAAACTTTAAATTAAATCCATGTTATTCAATTTAAAAGGGAGATAGAAAAGATTAAACAAAAAAAAAATAAAAAAAGAATGCTTGTTGGGCTGTTTGAAGCTGTCATCAATCATCATCAATGTGTATCTCAATGTAATAATTCCATCTCCTTATCACATTGAGATGACAGCTCTAATCTAAAAAAAAATTAAAAAATATTACAATCCGTAAATTCGAATGTTTTGATCGAATTAAAAAAAAAATTAAAATAAACATAAATTAGACCGTATACTCTCGTAATCGTTAAAAAACAAATCATTTGAAGCACAAAAAGTGGTTGAATTAGATCATATTCTTTACACTACTTGCTCTAAGTTTTAGACCGTGTGTTTTACGCAAGTGAATATGGTTTCTGTCTCCTTCGACTGCCCAGACGGCTGTAATGTGTCATCTCACGCCATTACATCATTTTAGTTTTTATCATATTCGTAACATGTAATCAAGGAAATGTGGATAACTATGATATTTATCAATCAAATATATTACGCATAGATCCTTCATAAATTCAAAAATGAACCATGTCTTTATAAAATTAAACAAAAAATTACTCAATTGTAAAATAATTCTCAAAATATTAGATCAAAAAATTTTTAAAAAAAAAACAAACATGTATTTTCTTGAGACAATAACAAGAAATAATTTTATGTCATAGAAATTAAATTATTTTGTATTTGATATAAGAGTTAATAATATTTTTGGTCTCTAAAATTAAAATACGTCTGTTTAATTAGTTTTGTTCTTATTGTACTAATTTTATCAATTCGATCCCTAAAGTTTCAATTTGTATCACTTTAGTCTTTAATCAAATAATTCATTCATATCATGTAAAACAAAAAAATGTTGTACATTATCGGAATTAATTAGGAACCACACATTTTTGTGTGATGTATTTGTAGCCATTAGAATATAAAAATGATAAACAAAATAAAATAAAAACTCTATAAATATCAAAGTTTTTATTAGACGAAAAAAAAAAATATGATACTCAAAAGTAATTTTTGGATAATATAATTAAACTCCCAAGATAAAGATCAAAAAGCTCAAACTTAAAAAAAAAAAAAAAATGGAGGACAAAGAGCATATGTACGAGAATAATGCTCTTGGCACGTGGATGAATTGTTTTTGATCGGATCGAAAAAAAAATTAGTCGAAGTTTGCATAAATTAACTCGAACATATTTGACCGTTGAAAAAAAAAAAGAGAATAATGCTCTTGGAACAAAAGGGTTCAAAATGGGAGCTCAGAATCATCCCATTGAAGGACTGCAGACCCCAAATTCTGCTCTCTCTTCAGCTTATCTTTCAAAAACCAATCACATACCCTCCCAGCATTTAATTCCTCAATCGAACAACCTTCTTGCTCTGATATCACTCTTAGTAGATTTAGCGATGATATCTGTATACACAATGAGCAGCATAATATACATTAGGCCTCAAAGCCTGTCAAAAGCCGGTATAATTCTCTCAAATTAAAGGAGAAAAATGTTACACGGACTTAATTCGGAGAAAAGTTGGATTTGAAGTTTGTTTTGTCTAATGTAAAAACTCATAACTAATCTAACAAGTACATTAAATTAATTCACTGATTAGTTCGTTAAATTAGGTACCTACAGCTCATCTGGGTACATAGAAAATGCTGACAAAAAGTTGGGTCGTGTAAAAAAAATCATCAGGAAGCAGCTCTTTTCGCTTGACAATAAGAATATGATAATATTATTTTAGAAGGTGATTCAGTGAATATAATGAACTTGATTTCAAAACTGAGTGATAATTTCGAGCTTTTGGGTCGTGTTCTACCGGATATTCGGATTATTTATCATGATTTTAGATTCTTCAAGGTATCTATCGTAAGTCGTTTTAGTAATAAAGGTAGCACATAATTTGGCTAAAAATGCTTCTTCTATCAAATATGTTGATGTATAAGAGAAGGTACCGAATTTCTTATTACCTTTTCTTCTCTCGAATATTTCTAATTAATCGATTTTTTACCGTTTCAATCAAAAAAATAAAAAATCATCAAATCTGTCATGACAGATGGGTTCTATCCAATTCCAATCAAGAACTCTCTCTATCTCTCTCTCCCTCTCTCTAAAAAAATACCACAATGTTGAATAAGTATATATGCATATTATTTTGGCACAGGCAGAGGCACATACCGTTAGTCGGCATAGAAACCTTTCATGACTGCTTAGACCAGATACTTCGACTAGACCAGCTTCTTCTAAGCTCAAGAAGCTTTGTCTTTCGGTCTTTCTCTCTCCTCCTTCACCACTACATGCTCTCACAGAAGCCATTCTTGCCATTCTTTTACGAGCAACCATGCTTGGTGTACTGCTACAAGCTGGCTTTGTCTTTATATTTTTCTGAAGATTATTTAGATGGTTAAAGAGATATGGTGATTGATAGTTGGCTTTACAAGGTTTGATTGCATTCATATTCATGAAGATTTTTTAGTTTTTTTCTGGGAGCCAAGGACTGTGGAAGAAGTAGAAGATAACTGAGAGGTCTCTCTCTACCTGTTGAGCCTCTTGGTTGTTTGTGGTGGAGATGGAGCTATGCAAATGGATTAATTGTTTTATGGGCCTATTTTGTTTGTGGTGGAGATGGAGCTATACGAGCATTGTCACGTAATATCATTAATTAATAATAAAATATTTAATAGATAAGATGAACACCATGTTATGTACTGTGCATTCAAGTGAGACCTATTATTTATAAATGAATCTCTTACTCATTAATGGTGGATGATGTATCAAGTATCAAGAAGAAAACCAAAGAAAAAGTATATGCATAACATCGAGATTTCATGAAAGAAAAGTGAATAGTTATGGTCTTAAATGAACGGTTAGTAATTGGTTTATGTGAAATCTATTTCCTTACTTATTTACGTACTAGGAGTAATTCGTGTCTAAAAGAACAGGGCAACGTAAGTGAGAAGTGAGAGATTTGGGGAGGAAAAAATTCAATTTGAATGATTTTAAAAGAGATGTTAGTGATCGTTGGATGAATATAATTGAGATTATCGGATGAACTTATCAAAATTTGTCTTATTTTATATTATAGATTATTGATTGACGATATTATATGACAATTCTAACATGATATGATTGTTACCTTGAATATTTTCTTTAATGGGTGTTGGGCTGTTTTTTTTAGGGAAACATGGATTCAATGATTCTAGTTTTGATTTTTGTGAGTTCGGATAGTAAATAGAAGAATTTGTTTCCTCCATTTACAAAATATGTCAGCACATGAGACAAACACAACTAAACATCATGTATATATAGATGAAAAAATCTCCACACGATGTGAAGATAGGTTGATTATATAAAATTATAATTGAATCAGATATGTATAGAGCAAATTGTAACATCACAACACTGACAAATTCACTAAGAAACCAATAAATGATAACACCTATTAACGTAATATTTTTTTTATATTAAAATTCAGAACTAATTCAATAACTGTATTGAATTAGATCTCTTTAGAACAATTTCAACCGAGTTATCAATTCCCTGCGGTACAATTCTAACGATTTTTTTTAATATTCTCTCCTCCTCTAATAGCTATGTCAACCAAATTTGACATATTGTCAAATATCTCATCTATTTTATCAAATCTTAACGTATCTCAATTGCATTACATGAATTTGGCATATAACATTTGACATATTTGGTTGAAATGTAAGACGAAGATGTCAAATGTTATATGTTAAATTGTTACACCGACCTTCAAATTTAAACTTAACATCTCCCTCTAAGTTACTTTAAATATCTTCAAATTAGGTTCCTATAATAAATGGCCAGAAGGATGAGAGCACTACTACATAAACTTAAAATTTTGATTTCATTTGCTAATTTGATTAATCACCGTCATTAATTTTAAATCTAATTTGGAGATATTCAATATTTATGATTGATCAAGTCAACAAATCAAGTTAACATTTTAAAGAGCAATGTTATATGAACTTAAAAATTAAATTTAAAAACTCTCAATATTTATTGAGACCCACTACTTATTCAATAATTATAATTATCAAGTATAATTTTTAAATCCATCTAGCATTAGTCTATTTTAAATCTAATTAGAATTGTTGTAGAAAGATAGACACATTACAAATATAACAGAAATATTGTCAAACAAAGTTTGCCAAGTGAGTTTCTTCTAGTAAAGTAAATGAATTGAAGAAGGTGATCAGTAGATAATCAAGCTCGAAAACATAGATTGATTGCATATATTTATATACAAACGATATTGATATGTACACAAGAGAACTACAAAATCTCAGTTTTCTTTTTTCCTTATTAAAGAAAAAAGTAAAACAGCTTGGTGAATGGAACTATATCTAAGTGGCAGTACTATTGTGATTTGTGATGAAGAAGAAGATCTATCTTCTATCAGTTGGGACCCCAACAGCTCAAGTACATGACAGTTCGTAGAGGCTCTTCTGCTCTCTTTAGCTTCTCACCCTTGGCGACAGCAGCCATGCAAGCTGTGGAATGATCAAGAGCACCACCAGAGAACCGCCTGGCCCGCCGCGAAGATGAACCACTTGAAGAGTCTTTCAGACTGTTGACGGCGGAGTCGCACTTCAAACCCTGGTCTTTCATCCCCTGCACCACCCTCATACCCGCCTGAAACACCACCTTCAAGCCCATATACAACAAAACCCACAATACCCAGATTGCAAAAACAAGAAATCTAGCAATGTTAGAGATATACCCAGGTTTAAGATAGTATATACACATACATACACACATGTGTATATATAGAGAGGTGGAGAGAGATGGGGTTGTGGAATTGTAAATGGAAACCGGGAGACTATTCAGGGAGATAATGGTAGGAAACAACCGGCTGTGAGAGGTGGTAACCGGCGGAATTTGCGCGGAAAACTGGGGGCTTTCACGGCTGCGGTGTCTTGTTCTCTGGGTGATGGACACGTGTCGGTTGCATGACATGGAAAGTTAGGATAAGTACAAGGCAGTCTACGTAGGATTTTGGAACTTCCTGTGCCTCAGATTTTCGTGATCTCCTTATGATAATGTTATCTTGATCTGGACCAAATACAACGGCCATTAATATTTGGGTTAATACTATTTTTAGCGGCTAAAATACGTATTTTTTGTTAATTAATCCGAAAAGTATTTATTTTGTATTACTTTAATTCTTAATTAGATAATTCGTCAAGTTTTTTGATGAAAGTGACTACGTGTCATTTTTTTAGACGGTATCATGTGTCTAACACGTTATCATTCCGTTGAAAATTTAACGATTTGTCTATGTACAGATTAAATTGAATAATTTAAAGATCAAATTGACAAAATTGATATAATGAAAATTAAATTGACAAAAAATTCATATTTTATGGACTAAAAATACTATTAACCATTAATATTTTGCCAAATCATATGCCTAATAGTAAAAATAAATCGTGTTTAGTTTGATCATATCGTATTTAATTGAATTTTTGTAAATTAATTTATATGAATGGTAACGAATTGTATCTTAAAATTCCAAGAATATCTTTCAAAAACAAGGGTTTTATGTTAATTAGCAGCTAATGATGTTATTATCCCTAGATGAGTTCTTAATATTCCTTAGACACAAAAAGTTAGTGAAAATTTATGAATAGAAGGTTCTAGCTTTAACTAACTAGATTTGAAAAAAAAAAGAAAATAAAAATTAATGTAAAAAAGAGATAATCAAATTAATGTAAAAATTTCTGTATAATATTATTTTAAAACTAATTTTTCCTAATACTAAAAATAAAAATTAAAAAAAGAGATAATCATATTTTGCATCCTGAAATTTTTTATAATGCTCAATTTACACCTTAAAAAATTAATTTTTTTTTCATACTAAACCCTTATTGTCATAAAATAATTACAATGCATCTCTCACATTAACTTCCGTTGTTATGTCCGTCAAATCCTGCTGCACCCGATGCATGTGAATTTGATGAAAATAAAAAACAAAAATTAATGTGAGGGTCATATTGTAATTATTTATAATATTTAGGGTAAAATGTGTAAAAATAAATTTTTTAGAGTACAAATTAATTTTTTGTTGGTTGGGTAGGCACCAAGTGGCCCCCATTGCAGCTCCAGAGTGCTCTCAAAAACAATGTCGACCGTTGACAAATCCAATCACCTGAACCAAACAGGCCGTTCGTTCCCGCCATGGATCTCCTACACTACCCAGCCTCTCGTCTCCCTCCATTTCGCTGCACTTACCCTCACCGTCCCGTTAGTACATCTCTTCGCCGGAGCTTCACAGTGAGGTCTCTTAAGCTTGATTCCGGCAATCTCATTCGTCCACTAAAAACCTAGGGTTTTTGTTTTTGTATATGTGATTTTGAGTTGAATTTGGAAATTTTCAGGTCGAGCTTGGACCTTCCGTTTCCAGAGGAGAAAGCGAAGTATTACAGAGAGCTCCAAGCAGCTGTCGATGTCGTCGAGAGAGCTTGTCGTCTCTGTGTTGACGTAATACCTCTCTACATTCTGTTCTAATGCTTTTATTTTTACGTTTGGTTTCCAGGAAAATGGGGGAAAATCTAATGATAAATGACATTTTGAAATTTGGACAATTGAAAATAAATATCTACCAAAACTGAGTGTCACGCATATCTGAAATTAGAACAGTAGAAAAGTTTATTAGTTTTACATATCTGAAATTAGAAGAGGCATAATTAATTAGAGAGTCTCATAGAACCAACCATAAACTCACATTGGCATTTTCGGACGACATCTCCCATACCCACTGATTATTATCTGTGATCTGTGAAACAAGCAATGTAGGGGCAACTTATGGGAATCTGTTGGGAAGAGGTGCTAACTGATTGAAGAGCTTCAGTGTAGTAATAATAATAATAATTTGAGATTTTACTTAACGTGTAGTTAGTGATTGGGGGCAAAGCATGCAGACTAACGCTCCAAGCAAAAGCATTCATTTAATCTGGTAATCTTTGGTTCCAAATAAACATCTATACCCAGAGTTGGCAAAAGAGTTAGCTTCACCCTATCATAATTTTATAGGTCAATAATTAAGTAAGAAGCACTGAAACAGTGTCATTACCTTGCTTAGAGTAGTGCCAAAACAACTGCTCTAAATGACTCATGATTCTGAAGGATTTTGATTAAAAGTATCAGCTTCATTTGACCCAAAAATTGTATAAACCAGCTTTATTTCACTGAAAACTGGTTGGTGTAGGAAACCATCTGTGTTCCCGATTCAATGCTATGATTCTATTTCCAATCATCCTCCTTGAACCAGAATCAGTTGCTTTCATAGCTTCCAAGATTCTGAGCCCTCTACATGGCTGATTAACTTCGGTTGTTTGAGAAAAAGAACAGGCAGGAATATACTTTAGCTTTAAAGACCTTATGGAGTAAAGACTTTGGTATTTAAAAAGTCGCCCAAGCACATTTGGCAACGAAGGCCTGAACTGAAAGCTTTCATGTCCTAGAGACCCATACCTACACAAAACTTCAAATTAACCCATTGTATCTTTTCCCGGTCATCTGCTCCCCCCGCCCTGCGTCCCTGGCGTTCTGGGAAATGTTTAATATCTTAGAATCAAACATGTAACCCAAAATGTAAGTTTTATTTGTCCCACTTTTTATGAGCAAGTATACAGAACATTTCCTTTTGATTCATTCTTCATTCTTTAAATAGTCCAACTTAGGACTTTTTTTTTTTTGGTTTGTTGATTATTGATAGGTCAAGAAGTCATTGTTCTCAAGCAATGGCCAGATTCTTGAAAAGATTGACCAGACCCCGGTGACGGTCGCGGATTTTGGGGTTCAGGCTCTAGTAAGCATGGGTAATTTGTTTATTATTTGTTTTATTTTGACATGATCATTTTTTTGCTTGAATTCCAAATTGACTTAACCTTTTTTTCAAACTACTCTATGTTTGTGAAGCTCGCAAAGAAATTTGATTGTTCTATGTCAATCCCATCAAGCCCCAATTCAATCCAATCCATGAAGAATCTTTTGTTTCACGCTGATTGGTATGAGGATTAACTTTTATTGAGGACATCAATGATATACAAAGGTAAACCTATCAAAAAGGGGCTAACCAAGTTCCCCCGATTCAATTAAAACACCACTAACCCAAAAAAATCATAAAAAGCAGACCAGAACTAAAGCCACGACACTTCAAGCTGTATTTATAGTAATCTGAAATATTTTCCACTTAGCACCAATTTCTCGTGCAAGTGGAAAATCAAACATGGTTGTATAATTTGAGAACCTTGCCTTGACATCATGCCCAATATCAGATATGTCCTTGTAAGCATTATGACCATGTGTAGCAAGACCAAAGAAACATTAGAGATTCATAGGCATTATTTTTAGTTCACAAGAATGAGGAAAAAAAATCAAACTATATATTATTTTTTGATATGTGAAACAACTTGTTAAGAGTATTAGGGTAGTATGTGTAAATTGTTAATAGTGTTAGGGTATTATGTGTAACTCTTATTATTGTGAGTTAACTATAAATACAAGTGATGTATGACTCTCTGTTTCTCTATAATCATTGTCTCTATTATTATTGTTAATCCTCTAAACTTAACATGGTTTCAAAGCAATACGATCATAAATATATATTTTGAATAAATTAATTTTTTTTTTGTTTGTGGTGTACTGTGTTTGTTGGAGTACTGTTGTGGTGTTTCTGTGTTGTGAAGCTTGTCGGTCGTCGTCGTTTGTGTTGCGGTACTGTTGTGGTGTCACTCGTCATGGTGGTGTGGCTGTTGTGGTGGTTTGTCATTCATCGTTGGTCGTAGTTGTGGTTGGTGATAATTGTTGCTGTGTGGTTCGTTGTTTGTTGTGTTGTACTGTCGTGGTCTTACCAGGTGGTGGTGGTGGTTGTCGACTGGTGTGGTCGACGGTGTGCTGCTCATCGAGTTTTGGTGGTGGCTTCTGTTCTGCTTCGGTGGTGTAGTCGGCGTTGGTGGCTGCCTGGTTGTTGAGTAGGCTTTTGTTCTACCTGGCTTTGGTGTGTGCAGTCGAAGATCAGTGTGCCGTCGAAGACCAGGGTTTCACTGGGAACCCTAATCTCAACGAAGAAGAATACTCCAATGGGTTGGGTCAGATCGGGTCAAGCCCAAAGTCCAAGCATTCCAAGTCCAGTGGTCTAACCCACGGTCCGGTTCAGTCTGTATCACGGTCCAGAGCCCCTAGCCTGTCCGGTTTTGTCTTCCAGAAGGTCCAGTTGATCCGGTTTAGTAGTTCAGGAAGTCAAACTGGCCCAATTCAGTGATCCAGCAAGTAAAATCGGTCTAGTTCAGCAGTCCAGAGGGCTCAGCTAGGCCGGTTCAGTAGTCCAGCCTCCCTTTTCAGTCCGGTTTAGGACTCAAGCAGCCTTAACAGGCTCGGTTCAGTGGTCCAGGCCGGTTCAGGGCTCCAGCAGCCTTAACAGGCTCGATTCAGTGGTCCAGGCCGGTTTTCCAATTCGGTTCTGGATTCTAACAGCCTTAACAGGCCTGGTTCAGCGGTCCAGCATCCTCTTTTCTTCTGGTTCGGCGTTGCAGCACTTTTTGTTTGCTATTTGTTGCACTGTTATGGAACCCAAACACGACACTGGATTGATTACTATTACTCGAGAGGAGTATGCCCAGTTCCTATCCCAGCAATAAGCTATTCCATCTTCTTCCACTGCTACTTTTGCCCAGTCAAGTATTGCTTCTACTTGTTTATTGTCCTCCAATCGCAATCCCTGGATCATAGACTCTGGCGCTTCTGATCACATGACTAGTGCGTCTGATATTTTTTCTACTTATCAGTCTGTTCCTTCCACACGTAGTGTTATTTTTGCTAATGACACTTGTTCTAAAGTTTCAGGTTTAGGGACTACTAACTTGAGTCCTGATATGTCCCTATCTTCCGTATTATTTGTTGCTCAGTTTTCTTTTAGTTTACTTTCCATTAACAAGATTACTCGTTCTCTTAATTGTTCTATAATCTTTTATCCTTCTTATTGTGTCTTTCAGGATCTTAAGACGAAGAGGAAGATTGGTACGGGGTATGAAGCTGGTGGCCTATATTACTTTGATTTTGATTCACCTACTCGGGCTCTACAGACCTCGTTGTCTCCTTTTCAGTAGCATTGTCGTCTTGGACATCCTTCTCTCCAGAATCTGAAGCGTCAGGTTCCCAGTCTTGATTCTGTGTCGTCTTTGTCTTGTGAAGCTTGTCAACTTAGTAAGCATCACCGTGTGTCATTTCAGTCTCGAGTCAATAATCGTGTGTCTAGTCCATTTGAGTTGGTACATTTTGATGTATGAGGTCCAATAAAGAATATTTTATCTAATAAATATCTTTATTTTGTGTCATTTGTAGATGATTATTCTCGTGTAACTTGGTTGTTTTTGATGAAAGCTCGGTCTGAATTATTCTCTATATTTGAGACATTTCGTAAGAAAATAAAAACTCAGTATGGGTGTCGTATCCATTTTTTACGTTTTGATAATGCTCGAAAATATGAATCTCTGATCCTTTTTCAGTTTATCTTAATAAAACTGGCATTATTCATCAAACTTTTTATGCTTACACCTCCAAAAAATGGTGTTGCTGAACGCAAAAATCGTCATTTGTTGGAAGTCACTCGTGCCCTGTTATTCCAGATGAATATTTTTCGATATTTTTGGAGTGATGCTGTTTTTACCGCTTGTCATCTTATTAATCGTATGTCATCCTCTATGTTAAATGGGCAAAGTCCATATTCTGTCATTTTTCTTGGTAAGGCCTTATTTTCCCTGACTCTTAAGATTTTTGGATATGTCTATTATGTTCAAAATTTGGGTCTTGGGTTTGACAAACTTGACCCTCGAGCTACCAAATGTGTATTTCTTGGTTATTCCCGTACGTAGAAAGGGTATTGTTGTTACAGTCCTTTTCTGCACCGATACTTTACTAGTGCCGATGTCACATTTGAAGAATTTATTCCATATTTTTCAGCACCTTCTAAGCCTTTGGATTTGGACTTTGGATCATCTCCTATACCACCATCTCTTTCCTCATCTTCAGACATTCCGCTGCCTACTGTGTTACCATTTACTTTACCTCTCCGTGTTTACTCTCGCCGTCCTCGCCCATCGACTGAGGTGCCCGTGCCTTGACGCCTTCTAATCCTGATACATCAGATAATTTAGACTATTTACCTATTGCTCTTCGCAAAGGTACTCGTTCGTGTGTTACTAATCATCCCATTTCTCATTTTGTTTCATATGATGCCTTGTCTCCTGTCTTCTCCTGTTTTACTTCCCAATTATCTGCTATATCTATTCCTAAGCATTTACATGATGCCTTATCTGATCCAGGTTAGAGGAAAGTTATGGAGGAGAAAATGGATGCTTTACATCATAATGAGACTTGAGATCTCGTTCTTTTACCCCCTGGTAAACGAACTGTTGGCTGTCGTTGGGTGTATACTGTTAAATTTCAAAGCCCGACTTGTTGCAAAGGGCTTTACTCAGACTTATGGTGTTGATTATGAGAGACTTTTTCTTCTGTTGCCAAAATTTTCTCTATTCATATCTTGATCTCTTTGGCTGCTGATCTTGATTGACCCTTGTTTTAGTTAGACATCAAGAATGCCTTCCTACATGGTGACTTGGTTGAAGAGGTATACATGGAGTAGCTATCTGGGTTTACTGCTCAAGGGGAGTACGGTAAGAGTGTATGTCGGTTAAAGAAATCTTTATATTGTTTGAAGCAGTCACCTAGGACATGGTTTGGTAAGTTTTCAGAAGTAGTTTTAGAGTTTGGTCTTCTTCGATATTAGATAGATCATTCTGTGTTTTATAGACAGACAGATGCTGGATGTCCTATTGGTGATTTATGTAGATGATATTGTGATTACTAGAAATGATTTTGAGGGGATTGCCAAGTTAAAACTATTCTTACAGGATCGAATTCATACTAAGTATTTGAAAAAACTCAGGTATTCCTTGGGTATTGAGGTGGTTCGATTTAAACAGGGTATTTGTTTATCCCAGAGAAAATATGTACTTGACATGCTTGAGGAACCAAGTTTGCTGGGTGGTAGACCGATTGATGTTCCTATGGATTCGAATCATAAATTATTGATGGATAATAGTGCATTGTTTGAGAATCCGGGTCGGTATCGCAGATTGGTTGGAAAGTTTAATTATCTTACTATTATTCGACCAGATTTTTCTTTTGCAATCAGTATAATAAGTCAATTCATGGGGTATCCTAGAGTACCACATTGGGAGGCAATTACTTGTATTTTACGATATCTTAAACGAGCTCCTGGACTTGAACTGTTATATCGAGCTAATGGACATTTTAGAGTGGAAGGTTTCTCAGATGTTGATTGGGCTGACTCTCCTTCTGATCGGAGATCAACCATTGGTTATTATACTTTCTTAGGAGGTAATGTTGTCTCATGGAAAAGTAAGAAACAACCCGTGGTAGCAAGATCTAATGCTGAGGCTGAGTATAGGGCAATGACACATACGACGAGTGAGTTGACTTGGCTACTACACTTCCTCCAAGAAATTAGGTTTCCAGTTCAACTTCCTTTACAGTTGTTCTGTGACAACCAGACAACTATCCATATCGCTGTCAATCCTGTGTTTCACGAGAGAACCAAGCATATTGAGGTTGATTGTCACTTTATTCGGGACAAGATAGTAGTTGGGGAGATTACGACTCCATTTGTGAAATCTGAAGATCAGCTTGCAGATATGTTTACCAAAGTATTGAGTTATACACGTCTTACAGCTATTTGGTTCAAGCTTGAATTATATGATATATATAGTCTAGCTTGAGGGGGAGTGTTAAGAGTATTAGGGTAGTATGTGTAAATTGTTAATAGTGTTAGGGTATTATGTGTAATTCTAATTATTGTGAGTTAACTATAAATACAAGTGATGTACGAGAGTTAGGTTAAGTTTTTAACCTTTCTCTGTTTCTCTATAATCATTGTCTCTAATATTATTGTTAATCCTCTAAACTTAACACAACTAAATACTATGTTTTGCAATTTATACCTCAGCTATCATCATGTCAATCAATGGTTGCTGTCACCAAATGGATAAATATCATGATGGCACTGCCTAAATTCCTTAAGCCAATCCTACTTATCTGACATTCATCTCCACTGCTGCACATAATCATAAAAGTCAAGAAGTCTTGTAAATTTATCCAACGAATCTTTACTCAAGGACTTGCAAAGAGTTGTAAATTCAGATAGATAGGAAAGAAGCATGATTTCCAGAAGCACCTTCCTTTTGTTTGTTCACATCTCTTTCAATTAGCATCTTGTCTTTTGAGCATGGAACGCCGAGTAAACCATTGAATAAAAAGTGTCATTTAGTTGCTATCCCAGTAGCTCTAACTAGCAGATTTCTCTATAAATATCTGACAGAAGCATGAAAATTAGCTTGTTTTTATTTTTTTTTTTGCTATGTTGTGGCAGAGTTGCGTAATCTCTTTCCCTCTATTCCCTTGGTGGCGGAAGAGGACTCAGCATCCGTTCGTGCAAATAATCTGGTAAACTCTGTTGTTAATGTGGTAACTGATAAAGCAAGGTTCGGAGATAAACAACTAACTGAAGCTGATGTATTGGAAGCAATTGACAGAGGAGGAAAGGATGCCTTTGTGTTTGGACTGAACCCAGCCACATATTGGGTGAGTTTATCTTGGTCGTCAACTTGTGCTTGATGAACATAATGCAGCTAAAAAATAGAATTGCAATTTTAGTTACTTTTCTTAGTTTTTTAGGATTGCCTCGTGCGAGCATGCAGGGCCGAGGAAGATATAGGAAACAAAAGATGGAAATGAAAAAGAAAAAAAAAAAAGAAAACAAAAAGAAAGATTACTCAACGGGGGACATATGCCCTTTACATAATTGTTCTAATTGTTCTATGATAACTCCTCTTTTTGCTTCACTATTTTTCATTTTGTTTAGAATGTTGCCGCCAACTAATAATCCACATGTATTGCTAGAAAAATGTACTAGAATTCATGCATCCGATAGCAATTTCTGTATGTGTATGTTAACTGGTTATTTTTTGAATATGTATGTGTGCTATTGTGCACTTGCCCAACAATTTCTCATTCTATGAAATTATTATTTCTTGTTAGACCATCCAATCTAAAACCAATTAACTATAGGTGGAGTGGCCTTTTAAGTGTCTAAACCAACCTTGGGTCTACTTAAATTTCCGATGTAAGATAGCTCTCTTTACACCCTTCCTTATGTGCAACTCAGACTCGCACGTGGGCTAACCAACCAAACTTGGCGACCCCACTGAATCGAAACAGACTCAAAACAGACCAGAGAACTAGGTGAGAGAAATAGTCTACCAACTACCTAAGGCATCCAACTTAAAACCAATTGGCTATGGGTAGAGTAGCCTCAAGTATATAAACCAACCTTGGGTCTACTTGATTTTCAGATGTGGGATAGCTCCCTTCACATTTCTAATAGGTGCTATCTATGGCGATGGACCTGTAACTCTTGTAAGTTAATGCCATATAGGCTTGTTAAGTTGCATATGAGAGAAGAGGGGGAAAACCCCATTTTTACTTTCACACTTTGCCTTAAATTTGGTGTATGGACTTTGTATTGTGCTTAGAAATCTCATATATTTGATACAGGTGTTGGATCCAATTGATGGTACACGAGGGTTTCTAAAAGGTTGCGAGTCCTTATATGTGGTATGTTCTGCTTGTTTTGCCATTTTTTATTCATTTTTTGGGTTACATTAGTGTGGTGACTTCAAAGGAAATTAAGAGAGAGTTCACAAATTGATGGCCTGGAGCCATAACTAATTTGTCTGTAAAACAGTATATATGACCTTGACTGACTCCTGGACATTGCTTCTTGTGACCAACAAAGTTTATTCATCAAGAGGTGATATTTCTGTCTATTTTGGGAGAGGTCAGTTAAAATTTTGGCATAGTTTTTAAAACTCAACGAGGAATGGACCAGAGAAAGGTCTAGGCAATCTTGGAAAGTGTCCAATTAGGATTCACTTGATGAGCTATTAGAGTTTATTTATGAGTTGAGATAAAATATCATTGCTAAAATGCCTGGAAATTTTGAGAAAAGAATCTTTAAATGCATCATTATGAGGTCTGCTGAACTGATTTTCTATAACTTCTTTCCAGAATATGTATTTTCAACAGGGAAAAAAGAAGAAACTATTGCATACTACCCAGCAGATAGAGCTAAGCATTTGAAGTACAATGACCAAGTAAGAGTCTTAGAAAATAAATAACCAAGGAAAAGAAAACAATGCTTCATAGGCTCTGTGGTCCTATATTTTGGTACTGTGTAATTGTGTATGCATTTCACTGTACGTAATCTGAGTCTTTGAGCATATGTGAAGGAAGTAAGCAGAAAATGGAGCCTCTGGTTCTGGAAGAAACAAGCTGAACAACATTTCTATGGCATTAGCAACGAGTTTCAAACTTGATTTTTCCATCAAATATTCTTTTTTTATTTCTAATTGGTTCTTGTTGTCCTTGCTAGCTATAACTAGTAAATGGATTTTGGTTCAGTATATAGAGGTTTTTTATTGTCTCTTGCTTACCTTGTTTAGCTAAGAGCATGCCCCAAATTTCAGGTGGGTTTGGCTCTAGTGGTTGAAGGAGAGATTGTTTTAGGAGTTATGGGCTGCCCTAACTGGCAGGAGGATTATTCCCAACCATCCACCACTGAAGTACAGAAATATGAAAACATCCTGTCTGGAGCAGGAACCATTATGGTTTCTCATGTTGGCTATGGAACTTGGAAAAAGAGACTATCTGACATTCAGAGTAGCAAGGCCAAAATGCCTCATAATTGGACCAGATGTTTTGTAGATGTGTGTCACGTAGTTGATGAGGCACGTTTTTGTATTCCAGAGAGTCAAACATGGGAAACATTGCCACTATCAGCTGTATATGATGCAACAACTGAGACTGAGAATGTTGGGAAGAAACAAATTCATCTATTGCCCACTTGTTGCGGAAGGTTTACTCTTAGGCCTTGTATTAAAGAAGTGTTTTATTAGTGTGCATTTTCCAGTTTTTGTGATTGCTTGCTGTAAAATAGTGCTCAGTGATGGTCAGAATTGTTCCATTCTGAGATGACCAATTTGTTGTGCCCACATCTCGTGGAGTTTTTATCATGTGACTTCACTTACACGAACTTGTGGCAAACACACGAATTTACTAGTGAACGACGACAAAGAGACTACCACTAACTGGCAGCGTACTACAAGGAACAAAACACAAACTAAACCAAGCAGGTTAGCAGACCCGTAAAGCCTTTCTAGGTCTTTTAGATTCTGTTGTGTTGTTCCTCTTCCTCTTCTCCTTTACTGAGTCAGCTGATTTGGCATCTTTTACGCGCAATAAGATAATCAGCAAAATAAGCATCTAGGATAGTCATTTCCGATGCACTTTAGTATGTTCACACAATACCTACCCTTTACATCTAGGTGATCTGTAGGTGACCTTGGTTGGGCTGCCCAATAATTACCATCCATGTAAGTTGTACGGCAGGCATAAAGAACATGTTTTTAAGAGGCAATGCATGGTTGAGGCTCTCGTAACACTGCTTGCAAGTGCAATAACAATTTTTTTTAGTTTTCTTAGAGATCGTATTTACGATTTATTCAATCAGGTAACAAATTATGGTGTCATTTCTGATTGATAGTTGTTATACACGGTACATGATTAGTTTTCTGTTTTCACTGTGCAGTTTGTGTAAGTATTTCATGGTGGCCTCTGGTAGGGCATCTGTTTTCATCCTTCGTGCAAGGACTCAGACAATTATCAAGGTATCATACCATCATGATCCATCAGTAAACACAATGGCATGACTTGATAACTCATCTCATTTAAAATGTAGGCTTGGGATCATGCTGTTGGAATTATATGTGTGCGTGAAGCAGGGGGGAAGGTATGCATCTCGTTTTTCTGTTATTTCTGCTTGTATGCCAAATAGTTTTACCTCAGTAGATCAATAAAAACGGCAATGTATTGTGAAACTTGAAGCAGAGATTTATGGTAGAGTCGAGAATGGTTATAATGTGGTTTGGATCTGTTATTCAGAGGGTAAACCTAACGAGATAGCTGAAATTTCTGTAATGAGGTCAAATATGCCAAGAAAACCATACACGTCATACTCACAATAATGCTTAACCGTAGCCATTGCTTGGGTGATGCTTAGTATAGATATTGTGAACAAATTTGAGCACAGCCTTTGTGAACAAATCTAGTTTTTTTTTTTTTTTCTTGTGATCATTAAGGGACTAACCTGTTAATTGTTTTCAGGTCACTGACTGGAGAGGGAGTCAACTTGATCTTGCAGCAGATCAAGTTGAGCGGCGGGTCCTATTTCCTTCAGGTGGGGTTCTTGTGACTAATGGCAGCTTACATAACCAGATACTAGGGATGATCTCTTCTAGTTTGCCAGTCGTTTAGTGGTATGTTCAATCCTGTTTTCTCAATCATCGTCGTCATCTTCAGTATATACACTTCTATTTTTGAGTGGCTTAATTCATTTGTATTTAATTTCCTTTGTATTCTCAATTTGGCATGCCTTGCCATTTTCTTCATCATAGTGTTGTATCATCCTGAAAGCAACTAGCATGGCCACCTCAACTGTTAAAAATGATTCTTATACCTTTATTGCATACATGGAACCCTTTTGACTTCATTTTCATCTGTGGCACTCTTTCATATAAAACCCTTATCGGTATTTCGATTCCTGATCCGGTTGAGAAACATGAAAGCACTTCTAGGGTTTGACAAGTTGTATTTTGCTGTACAGAGTTTCCAAATCTGATATGGTTTTCTTAGAATGGCTTTCTTTGGTTTTTTTCTGTTGCACTTGGTCTCCTTCTTCCTTGATAGTAGGGGTGTAACTCGGGCGGGCCTGATTTAACCCAAGTTACAAAACTTTCAATCTTAATCCAACTCGAGTCCGACTTCCAATCCGAGGTATTCAATCCGAGTAGTGTCCAAGTTAATTTCGGGCTCAATTTGAGTTGTTTTGGGTTAACTAATTTGGGTTGAATTCAAGTTTGTGATTTGGATTCAATTTCGAGCTCAATTTTAGGCATAACACAATGGCTAGACCTAATTTCAGATTGAACTGAATTGTGAATTTGGGTTGAGCCTAATTTAGTAATTTAGATTAGGGTTGGGTTGAACTCATGAATCTGAAGCTGCTAAAACACGAGTATGATTTGACTTCAATTCGGATTGAGGTTTTTTATTTTGAACCCAACTCAAGTTTTACAAACTTCAACCTAGGTCTTATTTTTTTTGGATGGAGTTCGGATTAGTCTGTCTAAATTGCACACCCTTACTTGATAGTGGAGTTTTCATTAGTAATTGTCCTCGCAGAATTCTACATAGCAGCAGGTCTTGAGGGGTGTTTATGATACCATTGCCAAGGGATGGGCTGTTAAATGACTTGAGTTTGATTCGCTGTCCACTCTCTTTTATTGCAAAATGAACCACATATGATTAAAAGTTTGTTTAATATTTAAGCTGAGTTTGAGCAATTTGTTGCTAAGCTTGGTAGAATCAAATTCAAATCCTTCTACATGAGGAATTTTCATTGTGAAATTGGAGATTATATTGTTTGGACTTGTTCGAATTCGAACTCTGTTAGTTAGCACGGATCGAGCCTAATTATTAGGGGTGCAATTTGGGCGGGCTAACTCGAGTCCAATCTGAAAAAAATAGGTTTTGGGTTAAAATTTTTAATACTTGAGTTGGGCTTGGGTAAAAAAACTCTAACCCGAATTAAATTTGGGCAAACCTCGGGTTGAGACCACGGGTTGTCGGGTTGAATCTAAATATCAAAATTGGGTTGAATCTAAATATACATAAATATATAAATATATTTAAGTAGGGTTAATATTTATCTTCACTCTTCAGAGTTCATACTTTTACGTCGCTTTAAATTTTTACCCCTACGTCTCCATCACTCTCAGATCCTTTTTTCACTCGTTACTCATGTCTCATTTAGTCTCAGACTCTAAGCCTCCCTTTCTTACTCGTCACTCCTCTCTCTCTCAATCGTCACTCGTCTGAGTCGTCTCAGACTCTTAGTCGACTTCTTTCACTTGTCATTCCTCCTTTTATCTACCCGAATTAAGTAACTTGAATTTAACCTGAGTCCATCTGAATTAAACTCGGGCAATATTCGGGTTGAGATAGTGTTAGGGTTAGGATTAAAATTGAAGATTATACACCTAAAATTGACCTCTCAATCCGTCCAAATTGCACTCCTAAAACCACATTAAAGCTTTGAACAACTTGAGTATCCCACCTTGATAATGTCTCCTGGATTTCGTAATTCTCCCACTGCTAAGGACTATCCCTAATAATTATGTCTGTCGATTGTGTCGGGTGAGATGAGTTCGTACAGAATTTTAGTGATTCGTATCAAAAAACTCTTTACTCATGCTCTATTCGATTATTAATTTGTGTATAACGAATCATATCATATCGGGTTTGTGTCATGTATAACCGGTATATAAATGATTGTATCGTATATGTTTTTTGATTGGTTTCTCATTTATTAATCGTATCCTGTCGGGTTCACTCATTTACAAAACATGTAACTTAAAAAATATTCAATTTTTTTAATTTTGTTTTGTGCTAATAGATCATATCATATTCCGACACCCATAACTAAATATTATCTCTAATAACCATCTACTAGTAGCTTTTGCACATATCTTATTGAGAACATCATCCCCAGTTGTACCATTTTTTTTCACATCAAAGGTGTTGGTCTGAACACCTCATTCTGTAAGCAGTTTGAATTCTCTTATTATTATGGGTTAAACAATGATAGAGCAGTCAATGCCCTCAATTTAGTATGTAAGCAATGATTAATTATCAATTTACATTCATGCTGTGTGGCCTATTCAATTCTAAATTTTAACGGCAAAATCTTCCAGTTGTCTCCTTCTCAGGTGGTGAATCTTCCAGTAAGTTTTGTTTGTTTGTTTGTTTAAAGGTTTCCTCTCAGCTCTTGTTTTTTTTAGTTTAACAGTGAAGTGTATTCGAGTCAGCTTAAACGCACGTCGATTAATTCTCTTTTTGATTCGGTTAAAGACAGATAATCAACGTCGAGATTGAGATATTCTCAATTCTTTCATTGATCAATTCAAATCCACTACAATTGGGTAACTCGATCAATTTTTTCTTCGATCTGGTTAAAGATAGACAATCAACGTCGAGACTAAGATAATTCTCGGTTCTTGCATTGATGAACTCAAACCTACCACAAGCTCTCAATGTGTCAAAAAATTACTGGTCCATATGACAAATTTAAATTAAGAAAACAGTTGTGGAAGTATATCAACCTTTGGGTTTTCAAATAATCTTCTGGTGACACGTTTCGAAATCGAGAATTAATACTGTCCGTCTGATCAGCATTCGTGACAAGAATTCAACCATCCATCATGTTCCTAGATGCCCCCCACGTGTCCCCAATCTCTTTTACCTATTTTGTTGGAAAGTCCTCAATATCCAACAATAGCCAGGTGTTCTACTTCTCCTCCACAATAACCAACCCCGGATAATACTAATACACACACCAACACACACACACATATATACATATTAATGATAACAACTATAGTTTCGTGTTGGTTATTGGTCTCTTTTACATCAAGAGCAGGAGAAGTAGTTGCTTCGTTGCAACCTTCAATGACTGTCTTTTCTTATTTCGTAGAATACCTAAAAGAGCGGGTTTAAGTTACAATTTTATAAAACTATGTTTTTGAGATTTTATATCTCAAATGACCCAATTTGTGCAATATGTGGAGATCAAATTCAAGTTTTTTTAATTTTTAGTTTAATGGTTAGGGGTGTTTGGTCTAACTTATGCGCACCTTGACTAATCCCCTTTCTGATCCGGTTAAAGACAGGTTATCCATGCTGAGCCTAAAGTATTTATGAGAGATAAATCTCTCATGGTCTGACCCTAATGGATTGCCAAAATTCGAACTCAGTACGTCTGAGTTCACAGTTTGTCTCTATTATCACTTGAACTACCATTTAGAATTGAATTCAAGTTATTGACATGTTTTATGTCCGCATAGAAATCTTGTTATTTTTTTTGATACAGCTTTTTAGGCTTGCACCGACTATAATGCTTAGCGGCAAACTACCATGATTTGAACTATATTAGAGGATGTCCCTAAAGAGACAAATATGACTAGTCCTTAGGAAGTAAAGACAGAAATTGAATTTGAGATATGTGAATTACAAAATATCAGACTCAATTCCTGAACCATTCTTAACGACCGAAATCTTGCCTTTGACAATACTTGAACTACTCAAACTTTGAGTGAAATGTTGGAACTCTGACCACCCCAGATAACTCGTAACGGTTATCCTCATCATGGTATTACAGTCTTGAGCATAGAGTTAGGAGTTAGTATGCATGGACTGCATAGCAATAAACAATGCGCATGTGATTTGCTTATAATACTATGTACTACAAACGCACAACATCCACAAATCCTTAGACAATATGAATAGGGTTGCTTGTAATAGCAACATGGCACACCCTCCACAACATGCTTTGGATCTCGTATCCAAAAATAGCCATAAACTATGTGAAAACCCTCTTAAAGATATGGCTTAGAGACAATAAATAAAACTCTCTCCCTCAATATTCAACGTTTGTTGGAGCAATCCAACAGTTCAGACTGAAAACTAACAACATATTTATAGCTAAGCTACCGAATGTATATATATAGACACGTCTGTTGGTCAACTCTATTTGGGTAACCATGCAAAAGCAAACCCTAGATTTTTGACAAGTAATTATGCGATCGGGTCTAAGATTGAAGCATTCCTTAATTTAGGTTAAAAAAAAACTTTGATACTAGTCTTCATACTTGGCTGTTTTGATATAATATAGGACATGGATGTCTTCGTGACGCTGAGCACGGGAACATTAGCATAAGATTATGGTCATATTAGTCTAAAACTATATAGTGTATATGGATATTTATATTTAAAGCTGTAGATTATGGTTTCATTCCATGTAGGTGAGTTATAGAATTATAGAAATGTTAATACTAATTAAAGGTGAGAAAGTTATGGAAGCAACTGAGCAGGTAAAGGAGGGTGTAGAGGTAATAAAAATAATGATGAATTTGAAATGGAAAAGAACATAATACATATCATAGTAGTAGATGAATAAAAAATTATTTGACCAAATACCCATTATCTGATAGATAAAAGGTCGACGATAGTGAGACACTTTTACACATGATTTTCTATGTCTTTGAATTACCCTTCACATGAACTCACTTGTACCTGTCTCAGTCTGTTCATTTAATCAGCTTCATCATTTTTTTTTAGGGGGGGGGGGGGGGGGGGGGTGTTTAGGGTCAGGGTAGGCTGTACACGTGTTTTGATATATTTCGATAAAGGTTACATTG